TGATAGTTTTAATTTTTTTTAATGTAATTTAATTTGCTGATATTACTATTATACTCTTTAGTTTTTTTGTTTTTTTTTTTATAGCAATATTTGAAGTATATAAAATATTCGTACAATATAATGAACAGTATAAATCAATCACTGATTTTATTTAGTTAAGTATATTAGAGTATCAGATATATGTATTGTATTATTTAATATTTAAATACTTGAAATAATAAATGGATAGAAGTAAGGAAAAAAATTTCCATGCAATTTGTGTGAAAAGAAAAAACTAAAGAAGAAGCGGGAATGAAAGTATAAAAATTATATTAGGTTTGCAACACAGCAAATATTAGCATCCTTTAGAAAACTTTCCCTTTTTTTTCTTTTTGTTAAACAATTTAACTAATTGAATAGTATGAATTTACGTGTAAACAAAATAAACAACGCTAATTTAATAGCTAAAGAAAAAATATCAGAATTTAATTAATATCAGAAATTGATTTTGTTACAAATTTAGTAAAAAATTTAACCGACAGATCAATGTTTGCTCTAATTGAATTTTACCATTTAATTTAAGCTAATAATTTCATATTCATTCAGCTTAATCTTTTTTGTGAGTGACAGTAATAGAATCATTCTTTTATTATTTTAAACTTGTTTGAATGTTTGAAATTTCAAAAAGAAATCAAATTTAAGAAATTTTTAAATCTTTTGGTAAATATAGTAGGCAGCAAACAATTTACATATCACACAGCAATCTATTAGTAATATGCATATTGAACTTTCTAACAGATCATTGAAAATTGTTTCAATTTTGTAGCAGAAATCATTAGATTCATATCTAGCAATCACTGCATAATAAATAGATTGAATATATATTGGAAATGAATTTCCCGAGAAAGCTCAACATAACATTAAACTCATCAATCAGATTGAGCATTTTTCAATATAAATGAAAGATTTCAAAAAAAAAAAAAGAAAAGTTTTGAAAATGAAATCTAAAATATAACACATTCACTTACTCATTTTTCGTGTTTTAGCCTGCAATTAATTAAACAATTGAATTGCTTGTAGCTAAAAGAAGGAAAAAAGCAAAGAGTAGGAAGTTGTGGTTGCAAAACAACAAATCATTATTATTAATTAGAAACAAATAGAAAACTAAACAATCATTTAATTATCTTTCATTAATTACAGTGTACATTAAGCCTATAAATGACCATTAACTAATTACTCATACTTAAAATCCTATTCATTTCTTTTCAGCGATATGATATCACATATTTCATGTAAAAAGAAAAAAAAAAAGAAAGAAGACTAACAGTTGTTGTTTTAGCATTAATAGGAGTTGTCGTTTTGTCACCAAACGCTTCGTCGCGTTCTCGACCTATTACTGCTTTTGATTGAACTTTATTCTTTGTAACAAAGTTACAATTAGCATCTACACCAATGGTAGTTGTTTGACCGGTTGTGGTAAGATTAGTTCCAAATGGTTTTGGTACCGAATTTAGTAAATTTCCACAATTAAATGTAGAAGTTTGCTTTGAATTAATCGAATTCTTCTTCACTATTGGTTTTTTATCTGCACCACTGATTTTTCGCGTATAACGATACGGTCCAACACCTTCTCTTGGTGGTACCATGGTTTCATCTTCCACCACTGATGCATGCACCGTATCTTTTTTGGATGATTTTGTTGGTGATAATGATGATGATGATGATGATGATACCGGTGGTACTTTATCATTCTTTTTAAAACCTGATCCAATCTTCTTTATATTACCAGTTGTACCGTTTGTTGTTGTTGTTGTTGTTGTTGTTGCTGTTGTTGTTGTTGTTGCTGTTGTTGTTGCTGTTGTTGACTTTGTGGATTCTTCATGATCCGATGATTTTTGCTTCACAAGTGAGGATTTGCCGGTAGAATCTGATTCAGTATTCTTTTTCCATGATGATCGTGATGATTCGTCATTTTTACGTGCAACAGATAGTAATGGAGATGGCTCTGAAGCATCATCCTTAATCCATGATGGTTTCTTAATGCGACCCGGTTTGATTGTTTCATCGGTTGCTGATAAACATACTTCCGGTGGATTTTCGAAACGTTCCTTAAATTTTGAGATATCAACTTTTGGCATAGCACGTAAAGGATTATTTTGTCCTTCTGCTACTTCTTTTTCCTCTGCTTCATCGGATAGTTCCGGTGAATTTTCTTTCAGTTTCATTGAAGCTACATAAGTTTTTTTCGTTGTTCCACTTACTACCGGTAATTGTTCATTTTTAATAGATGATTTTCGTCGTAATTTTGATCCTTTTGTACCTGTTTTTTTTCTCACGGTATTTTTGGTATTTGAGGCTTTCTGCTTTTCCGTTGATATTTTTTTCTCGCTTACAATAGTTTTTTCCTCTTTTTTTTGACACCAAATAGGTTGGGAAGATTTGTTGGGATCATCATCGGTGGAAAATTTACGAACCATTCTTCGAATACTACTTTCATTTCCAATTACTACTCCCGTTCGTTCTTGCTCCTCGTTATGTTTTGATGGAACAGACACAGATGACTGTTCCGTGGTTGTGTCATCAAAAATTTTTCTTCTCCGAGAAATACCAAATTCATGATTGTTATTGTCTATTTCTCCATCTAATTTGTTTGATCTATTTAAGCTTCGTACAGGACTATATGATGCTTCTCGTTCAGTACCACCAAACATTTTAATTCGATCACGAGCTGAACCAGCGGGAATTTCAGCTTCAATTTGTTTACGAGTTTGTATCGGTGACGAATAGCATTCATCAGCTTTTCGTTTTCCGGATATTTGAAGTGTTATCGTTTCTGGTTCATATTCTTCCTCAACATCATCATAATTTACGACATCAATGCTAACATTAATCAATGGTAGCCTATTTAGTGGTGATTTTGTAGAGGATGAGCTAGGATGTGATGTGGCACCTATTCCGACAGCAGTTTCTGGAACAACTGGTGCTGGTGAAGCAAAGTATACGTCGTTCGATCGTTCAGGAGGAATATTTGAAAGGGAGCTAAACCTTGAGGTACCAATACTGGATAGATCACTCAGACTTTGGCTACCATAAACATCATCTTCATAATTTGAAGTGGAAGGTGATGACCTCCCTGGTGACCTTACACCGGAATCATCATCATTGATTATTGCGGAACTTTTGTCATTTGTAACCGTTTTCCTCAATTTAACACCCTGTCGTATGGAACGTAATAACTCATCACGATCCACGGTAACTTTACCACCTAACTTCATCAGTGCTGGTTTCGGAGAACGTGATCGTCGGATAGATTCTGCGGACGGAATAGGAGGTGGTGGTGGCACAAGTAATGGAGGTGGAGGTGGTGACATGACAGATTCCACTGGAACGTGTCGATCTGGTGATGTATTACGGCTGATTGGAAACGGTGAGCTACGATCGTTAGTTTCCACTTTACGTAACTTAACACCACCACGTATTGATGCTAATAGTGCATCACGATTTATCGGCTGTTTACCCCCAAGTTTCAATAGTGCCGGATTTGTGATTGGTTTCACGATTTTATTCGGCTGTATATGGGATGATAAGGAATCCGGTGAAGGTGGAGATGGTACAGGCGGTGGTGGAACAGATGAAACGTCAAGATGTGTGGTTGAGTTTGATAATACAAATGTTTCTGGAATGGGAGATGCTGTACGGCTTAAATCATTACGGACAGTTCCGGCACCAATAGGAGCACTTCGATCATTTGTTACAGTTTTGCGTAATTTTACACCACCATGAATTTCGTTGAGCAATTTATCACGATCAAAATTAGCATTACCGCCAAGTTTTAGTAAAGCTGCAGGTGGAGGTGCTTTTGGAGGTGGTGGTGCTAATGGTACCGGCGGCACATCCGTATTCTCTGAATTTTTTCCATAAAAAACCGGTTTTTTAGCATCCGGTCGATTGTTATGCGCAGAAGTGGAAGCGACGGAATCAAGCGGAGGCGAATAGCCACCACTTCGTACACGTCCAACGCCAGTTGGAGCGCTTTTATCATTAGTAAAAGTATGCCTCAATTGTACGCCACAGCGAACTTCATCTAATAGCTTGTCTCGATCAAATACAGGCTTTACAGCTACCAACTGAGGAGCTGGTTTCGACTTCGATTTCAACTTTTGTGGTAATTCAGGTGGTGGAGGTGCAGCTGGTAGAGGTGGTGGTGCTCGCGGTTTTGATGTATCACGAGCCAGACTACGCTGGCCCATCTGTACCGGACGAGCGAGATACATTTGTTAATTGGAAAAATATAATTTACTTCAAAAAAATTCTTATTGAGATAACAATTATCGAATTGCTGTTGTTCTCTTCGTACTGTTTGTTGGTATCATTCACAAATTCATAATCAAATTCCTAAAATAAAACAAATCACCAATCCTATGATATAAGATAATCAGAATAAATAAGAATAAACCAAATAAAACCTTTTATTAATTCTTAATCAAATTCCTAAAAATATCTTTTATTAATTAAACAATCATCAATTTAGAATGCTTTTATGTATATTTTTAACTTACTCTCGAATATTAATAACTCTTTTATATCTCATTCTTCCCAGTTCAAAAATATTCAAAGAAACAAAAATCAATTGAACAAATTTTTGATTTATTAAAAAAAAAATAAACATTATTCCCATGTTCGAATGATGCTTACTCATTAATATACGATAAATGAGTAATTAATTATGATCTACTGCAATTATAGATATCTCAACAGAATTTACTTATTTTTTTTTATTGTGAAAAGAAAACACATAAACTCACTCACTCTCTCTCTCTCTCTCTCTCTTTCTTTTCCTTGTTTAAGTGTCAATTTAACTAAATTTAAAAAATATCTAAATTACAGTGAACAACAAATTACTGTTACCAGATTTAAACTTCAGTGAAAATTTAACTGAAAATGTTACATTTGTATAATTCTGCTTAATAATCAATTTAATATCGTTTACTTTTAAAATTCAATAAGATGAAAATCAACAATGTGTATAATATTTGTACTTTGGATCTCTCTTTTTTCTTTTGAAACTTAATAGTAAAAAAGTGAAAGAGAAATGAAGAAAATGAATAAAAGAATATTTTAGTTAGTTAATCGATAATAGCTCAATGATAAGAATTTTTGATAAATTCATTATTGGATTGAAATGTGTGAAAAATTATTTCAACAATACTAAATCATCATGATCATTTCAATTTATCGAATAGTCCAAGTAAAAATTATCGTTACGGAATGAATCAAAAATACAAACAATAAAGCGAAAGATTATCACATTAAAAAGAAAATTTAAAAGTTAATTTTTAAATCATAAAAATTGAAATTATTGAAGGAAGGAAAAAAAAAAGAAGGATCAGTTATAACCTTTATAATCGGATGACACTCAGTGAACATCGCCGTACAACAAATGTTGCCCTTGACCTCACTCTTCTTCTTCAAACTGATGATTCCAGTCTGCTGCAATAACGAAATAATTTAAAAATTCTTTTTTTTTTTTTAAATTTCTTAGCTCTTTCTCTCGCTATCGTTTAATTTCAAGTTTACTACGCATGAAACAATGGAAAACACCATTTGAGAAGTATTATTGTCATTTCTCATTAATTTTGAGGAATGAAATATTACATAATAATTTCACGTATATTTATGAACAATGAAGAATTATGTAACAATTCCATGTATATTTCATAGAGAAAAATTATGTATTAATTCCACGTACGCTTATAAAGAACACGTATATTTATGAACAGTAAAAAATTATGTAATAATTCTACGTATATTTTATAAAGAAAAATTATGTATTAATTTTACATATATTTAGAAAGAATGGAGAATTATTTTAGTATTAATTCGATATACGATTAAAAAATATCGAAAAATCATATCACTCTTATTATAATCATATTTTGGCTATTAAATAATAACCAATGTTAGTTCAATGAAAATAAAATCATTTCCTACCTAAATCAATAAATATTATCATCAGCCAGTTATCTCTGGGCTTGTTTGCATTCTCAAAATATAATCAATAATTGAAATTTGAGGAGAAAAGTTGAGAAATGATATATTCTATGTAATGATTCGATAAATTTATTTAAAGAGTATATTTTTTGATAAGCGAATTACACTAACAATACAGTATACAACACCCTTCAAACCCATTCATTAAATCACTTTTTTTTTTTCTTTTGTATTAATGCTGCTTTGGTATGCACTAATGCCCAGTTTGCAATTGTTGGTATCGAAATTCAAATATGTGACCGTAAAAATTGAAATTCGTCATTTGCGGAGAGAAATGTATACGATGTGTATTTATTTCGTCATTCCTAGCAAATCTAACACATTAATATTTAAATTTTCCTAAATTAAATCTAAATTACAAAATAAATTTTTGAGAATCAGATGAAAATTTATACAAGTTAATAATTCTAATTTTATATAAATTTCACTTTGATTGTAGTATTTTTCGAGTATACAATTATGGATTAATAATATTGGAACGATTGCAACTTATCGATTATAATAAATAAAGATTGCAATAGCTTCGAATTTAGAAACCACTCATACAATATTTGAAATATGAAAATGATATTTGAGAGAAGAAGCAGAATAACAAAGAAGTTAGTGATAATTAATATATCATATAATAGAATAGTGATTTAACTTTTAGATATATGAAAACTTGATTATCGGGTTTTAACTGGAATTAAGGAATGAGTAAACAATGAGAGAGACAGAGAGAGAGAGAGAGAGAGAGAGGAAGAGAATGAGTAAGTCAATTTAGCTGATAGCGATGGAATTAAGTATGGAATGGATGAATTGATATTGTTTGAAAAAAAAGGAAAGAAAAGAAATGCTTCAACTCGTTTGAAACATAAATACTATAATGAAATGGAATTGATTGATGTAATAACGAATAATGCAACTAAAATTAAAAAGTTGCAAGTGAATTTTGACGGGTGAAAAAGCTTATTAGAATGATTTTACTTGAAAGTTCGAGCAAAAAAAAAGCTTAAAATAGAAATTTGACAAAGAAAACAATAAGTAATTGCAATGATTAAGGAATACATACAGTGCAATTTTAATTGTCAACACTAAAAATTTGTTCCAATCATTGAATTAATTTGAAATCAAATAGTTAAATGAAAAATTTGCCTGAAATAATAATAATAATAATATCTAAAATTATTGAATGATAAATTGCCTAAATTTGAATCAAACTAAAATGTTTTTAAATTTTTTACGATTTAAATTTTCATATAAATCAAGTTATTGGCAGTACAATAGTAATAGGTTTTTGAGATTTTTTATTAAAAAAAAAAATAATTTTGATGAGAATTTGAAAAATTTATAAGCCGTAAAAGATTTATTTTAGCACATATGAACAAAAGAAATCGGATAAACTTTGAGAAAATTTCATTTGTATGATTGGAAAATTGTATTTTTCTTTTATTGATCACCTCATTATCACATCATTAAGTTTGTCATTATGGGAATTTATTGCTGCTCACAAATCAATCTTTATAGTAATCTAAAGGTTATCTAAATTTTTGTGATTAATTTTGAATTTTCTTCCCTAACGAAAAATTTCAATGAAAATTAATTTTTTTTTTGAGAAAAAAAACACAAAAAAATATTGAGTTACAAATATCTGGCAGTAATATAATAAAATAATAATTTAAAAGAAAGAAATAAAAAATTTCAGCAAAGTAAACAAAATTTATGAAAGGATGAAATTTGTAATCCATTGATGTATTTAAAAGATAAAAAAATAATTTGAAAAAAAAACAAAAAAAAAAAAAACAGGCAAAAGGTAAAAGGAAGAAAAGGAATGGAAACAGTTGTTGGAAATTGAGAAACAATAACACTGTTAATCTTCGATAGCTTAAAAATTTTTGAACTTTATGTGAAAGAAATTCATTGGATGAGAAAAATAGAACGGATATCACATCGTTTATTATTGTTACCGTTGCTAACATTTTCAAATAACTTTAAAAGTTTGTGCTATTTTTTTAAATTTAAAATCTAAAATTTGTTGGAACGATTTTTTGCTGATAGGAAATAACTCAAAATTTTTGAATTAAAAAACTCTCCTTTTTTTTAAGCATCAAAGTTTTAAATTGGAAATTCCCCTCGAAATTATTTGAAATTACCTGAAGAGGAAAAAAGAAAAGAAAAGAAAATGCTTATAGTTTGAAAAATAAAGTTAGTTAACACAAAGTGAGACAGTTGCAGCATTACAAATGTTTTGAAGGAAGTGATGGGAAGAATTTCAAGATGTTCAAAATAATCATTGAAATGTTTTCACGATAGAAATTTGTGAACAATTCATAAAACTAACTTGTTTAAAAATAATTTATTCTGAAAATTTATTTTTAACTATTTGATAATTAATTTGAAATTTTTATAATGCAAAATGTTAAATAAATGCACAAATTGAATTTTTCTTTTCAATTTTTCTTTTCTTGAAAATTTCAGGAGAAAATATTTATAAATAAATTTGCTAAAACTATCATTCCCTTTCTAATCATGAATTTATGATAAACATTGGTAATATTCAACGGAAAAGAAATGATCTCAAAAATTTTATTTCAAAATTTCTC